GAAGGAGAAGGAGAAGGAGAAGGAGAAGGAGAAGGAGAAGGAGAAGGAGAAGGAGAAGGAGAAGGAGAAGGAGAAGGAGAAGGAGAAGGAGAAGGAGAAGGAGAAGGAGAAGGAAGAAGAAGCAACAGCAGCAGCAGCAGCAGCTAGTGAATACGGATGACAGACAAGTAAACCAGAAGATGGCGGTGAAGGCTAACAGTCGCTTCTTCAAACAAGGGAGCTGTATAAATGTAAAAAAAAATCATGCAATGACTCTTGTTTTGAACTTCTAAACAAGGATGTAGCTGGGTGAGCAAAATTTTGAAACTGACTAAACCTGGGACAGAGGACACGTGTGCGAAAGTGCACAGAGCCCTCCCTGCCCGCCGTTCTGTCCTTAGCAGTCTCCTGCCGGGACAGCAGTGCACCCTTGAGTGGCAGCATAATGCAACCTCGGCTCCGTCCTGTGGGCTCCACCTTGCCCCCAGCTCCTCCCAGGCAGGAAGCACCCAGAAATACGCACTGAATGAATGAGTCTGTGAACAGAGGAGAAAGGGAAAAAACAGGCTGTGACCAGAATTTTCTTTGAACGAAACCATGTTGTTTATTACAGAGACTCTGATCACGGAAAACTTACTTGGGTGAAAGAAAAATACAGCATCCTGTTACTTTCTGAGAAAGCGTGTTGGTTTTAGGGAAAGCACACCTCCTTTGCCTGTTTTGTTCCAGCCTAAACAAATTTACTCCTCCAAGGAAAAGACACCGGTCCAACATACCAGATTAAAAGAAAAACTGAGAAACAAGTGATATCAAAAGCTGTTCCAAAGCTGCAAGCTGACCCCGGGTGGCAGTGATTAAAAATCATATAGAAACTGATCTGGCAGTTTACCTGAAAATGCTAAGTAAATAAACATGCTGGGGTGTGGGGTGGGGCAGGCATCCAAGCCGACAGGGTGAAAGTTCAGGGGATGAAAGCTCGGGGGCTTAATTTTGGAAATTAAAGAAAGCTTGGAAAATTAGGTAGATCCTGGGTCTGCTTATTATTTCTATTTTGGACATTTGTACCCCACTAAGAAACTGCTTTCCACAAGGCACAGGTTAAAACGATATCACTGTGACTGTGATTCAGAGCTATTAACATCACACCCCCATCTTTCTGCTGCCATCCCTGAAACTTGGGGGCCCTGCGCTGCCCATCAGTGTAGCGGACGGCTATATGGACCACGCTTGTCACTGAAGGGCCCGGGCCACTCTCCATTTTCCTTCTGGGACAGTGCTCTGTCCTTGCCGGCGACCTCCTGCGGGCGGCCCTGGGCTCTCCGCGGCTAGGCCCGCGCCGCCAGGGTTCCACTGTCAGGGTCCTGCACTCCTGTG